GTGTTTAAATTATAGGTTAATTTCATTAAAAAATGTAGGTGAATAATGTACTTATTATATTCTTTAATAAATTTTTAAAAAAATAAATATTGACTTTAATTTATTTAATTGATTAATTAAAACTTTTTATATAGTAATGATATTAAAAAAATTAAATTTTATATTTCTTATATAAATTAATTATAAAATAATGTATTTATTATATTCTTAATTCATATCAAAATTAGACAAACTCTTTTATAAAAAGATTGAAGGGCATTTTTAACTCAATTTCTAAAAAAATTCTCTATATCTATATATATATAAATTAAAGGTAAGTTCAGATAAAGATTAATGAAAAAAAAGGAAGCAAGGAAAAGAAAGGGAAGCGAAGAGAAGAAAAAAAAAGAAAATATTAGTGTTAGTCTTACATAGAAAGAAAAAAAATAGAGGAGATGAGAGGATAATATTTTTATTTAATTAAATAATTTAAATAAAATATAGAATATAGAATAATAATTTTTTAAAAAATTAATAATTAAATAAATAATTAAAATAAAATATTTATATATTTATTTTTTAAAAAATTAAACAAATAAATAAAAAAAATTAAATCCTTCACAATCCACCCAAATTAGAGAGATGAAAAATAAAGAAAAATAGAGAAGTGAAAGGGGAGCCATCTCCCTCTCTCCCCTCGTTAAAAAAATAATTCAAATAAACGAGCAAGCCATTTCCTACTAATTCTTCTCTCATTCCCATCCAAATCCTCTAATCCGAACTCACTATAAAGTTGAATAAAAATTAATTTTTAAATGCTTCCAGCTTCTAAAAAAACTGTTTACACCATTTCCCTCCCCTCCCTCCGCAATGCTCTACTTTCTTTCAACCAAACAAGCTTTAATGTTTTATTTAATTTATATTTATGCAAAAATTACTCAAACATTTGATATGATTTTCTTTGCCCATATTCATTTCTACGCATATGAGATTCAATATTGAGACCTACAACGTAAAAGTCTCTAGGTCAAGATATCATTCAAATAATAACATTATTTTTCAAAATTTTTTTAATTAAGAATATGATCGAACCTGGGCCTCACAGGCCAACGGCCCAACGACCTTAGGCCAACTTATAAAGTGCATCCTCCCAGTCCGAGGGTTGGGGTTTGAGTCCTTCCTCCCCTATATTTGTAACCTTGTTAAAAAAAGAAAAATTAAGAATATGATCTTATTTTTTTTTGTTAATAATTAAAGACATGATCTTTACGATTCTACAAAATAAGGATTATAAGAAAGTAATTTTTTTTAAATTCCCTAATTCTAACATAGATAG